TGCTCCTCCACCTGGCGCAGCTCGTCCTCCAGCTTGCGGATGTCGGCCTGGTGCGCCTCGTGCGCCTTGCGCGCCTGCTCCAGCGTCTTCAGCGCGCTCTCCAGCTTCTTCTGCGTGTGCGTCACGCGCTCCTTCGCCTTTATGAAGGTCGGCCGCTTCTTCGATACTTCTGCTTCCTGGTAAAAGGTTTCTTTTTTTAAATACATCTTTATTTTGAGTATTTAATTTTCTGTAGAGATAATAAATTAAATAATTAAACATACCACTTCTCTAATGTCTTGTTCAATTTTAGCAAGTTCCCTCTGCACGGTGCCCGCTTCCTTCTTCTTCTCTTTGAGGGCATCCTCTGCCTTCTGCCGTTTCTTCTCCACTTTAGTCAGCTCGTTCTGCTTGTGCTGCAACTCCTCCTCAAAGTTTTGGATCTCCTTCTCATTGTGATATAAGTGAAATAATTGAAGTTCTACTTTTTGTTCTTGCTGAAAAGTTTAAACAATAAAAATGTTATTTTTGTCAAAATAAGCTAAATGCAGAAAAGTTCCACAGCTTTTCGTTTAAGTTTTTTTACCAGCTCTTGTTTAAGTCGTGTATATTTTTCCGCTTCCTCTTTCTCGAACTTCGCCTCTTTCCGTTCTGCAGCAACTCCTTTCTTCTTCTGGTATGAGAACTGTGCCTCCTCGTCTGCTCGGTTTACTTCTGCTCTACATGCTTCATATTGCTCCTTTAGCACTCCAGATCTTCAAGGTAAACATATTTCGTAAAAGAAGTATTTCCTTGTGTCAATTTTACTTTTAAATGATTATGGGAATAATATCAATTATTGTAATAATTACAAAATATTGTGAGAAAATAAAAATAAACAGTATGAAAAACATCTTACCCGCTAATTTCTTCAAAGAGTGCAGTTCTCTCTTTAGGGTTTTTCATAGCAATAGACTCAACAGCCCCTTGGAATACCAAGAAGTTCTTGGCCTTCACATTAATACCGAGCTTCTCCAGCTCACTCAGGTACTGGCTCACTGACACAGACTGCCATAAACATTTTAATTCAAGTTTATGTATCATCATACTAATATTATAAATGTGAAAGTTTAGATGGATTATATGGTTGTATGAATGGATGTTTGTAGCCTAAACTGCTGAACAGATCTCAATGAAATTTGGCATAGATCTAGAGGATAGTCTAGAGAAATAAGTATCATATAGGCTACTTGTTTTTTTTAATACCACGCGGACGGATTCAAGGACGCAAGCTAGTACTAATATAAAGAGAAAAAATGTATTCTTGTATAAAACAAACAAACTGAATAACTACTGAATCAATTTCAAAATTCTTCTTATTTTTAATTTGGTATGGACAAATTGGGGAACATAAGGTTTCTAAACAATTACATTGCAAGCAACAAATAACTACAAAATTAAAATTAAACATATATCCCTGGAATTCTAATACAATAAATTAATATTGTAATAAAATTATTGTGTTATTGCTTTGTGAGAGCAAATATTAATGAGTATATTGTATATTACCTGTCCATCAATCTTATGGTCGGAGGATTGTCCAATCACAGATCTCTGAAACTGCTTTGTAGTCATGTCCTCCAGCACAAATGTTGCTGTTACAGATGCACTGACAAGATAAAAAATACAATGACTAAATTTGTTACTTAGGATAATGTATTGTACTATTTTTATCTGTACATATAAAATTAGAGAGTCTGTTTGTAATATCAAAAGAAAATTTCCAGATTTTGGGTGGGTGATGTATTTGCATTGCTGATAACGAAAATTGCATTTTTTTTGTCTGGCTGTCTATCTGCAAGCCATGTTTGAACAGGGCAAACTCCAAAATGGCTGGGCCCATTTCGACCGGACTCTTAGTAAAGGGTAGCTGACTTAGAGAGCATGGCCGAAGTCATAAGCAATAATAACTATCCTAATAATGATAACTAGTTATCAATAAAAACTTTACCTTCTTGATACAGGTTTGTTGATAGAAGCACCATGTATTAAATCACTGAGCCGTTTTACTCGGAGTAGAGAAGTTTTTTCCCCCATAACAAAACTTACAGCATCCATGAAATTTGATTTTCCTAAAAATATATTTTTTTCTTTATTGTAAAGCAATATGTTAACTATAAATAGAACATCTTACAATTACTTTAAAGCTGTTTCTAGTCTTACAACATTTAGATGTGTTTGACACCAATATCTACCATTAAAACAAGTTTTCCAAACACAGTGCAATATGAAGGATCTTCTATATTTAAATAGTAAGGTTTAACAAAATGTTTATAATATGTTTATAAGTATGCTAGCAGGTAAATGTAAAGGTTTAATTTCATTAAATACCAGACATTTTGTATTACATACCTGAACCATTCGGCCCAACTACAGCAGTAAAAGATTTCAGAGGTCCTATACGGTGCTGACCCCGATAGGACTTGAAATTTTCCATATCAATATACTTTAAAAACGCCGGCATCTTTACATTACAAAATCTTCATTTAGAAAATAAAAAAACTGAATTCTGAACTCCACAATAACATTAAAGCGCCAAACATTCACTTTCTGACAAGTAACAACTGTCATTAACATCAAAGCACAGATAAGCAAACTAACAGATAATTTTCATGAAGACAACAGGTTGAATATCCTTCAAACTAAAATGAACTAAACTTGCTCTTTGGAATTTGTGACAGATTTGCCTTGATTTATATTTGACTGACACTGACAGCGTTATCAATCTACTAAAATACTAATATTTATCATTAATCGATTTGTCTACGATAATACTTGACTTACAAAAGTTGCATTTGAAAAGTTTTAATTTCAGTTCTAACTTTTTGAGCTCGCTTTGATATGGATATAACGAACGTGTAAGTTATTTCCAAGCATGAATGGTGATCAAAGTCCTGGAAGCCCTTTAGACCTTAGCGATCGTGAACAAGCTGTGTTAATGGACCCTATTGACCATGAGAGATGTAGATATCCTTACTGTATTGTTTGGACCCCTATACCTGTTCTAACGTAAGTATACATGCATGTTAGAAGATGACTTTTTTCCTATTTTAGAATTACTAAAATCTAGGTCTAAATCTTATTTTTATTCTTTTTGTATGATATAAAATAGTTAATAGCATTGCCTGACTTATATCCGTAAAAGACATACTAAGGTGGTAAACCTTACCAAAAATACCTACAACAGCAATTTTTAATTCTGTAGCAAGTATTCATTAAATCCGAGAATACTAATCACAGTATTTACGAATTACCTGTGATTGTTACAGATGGATTTTCCCATTCCTTGGCCACATGGGAATATGTACTTCTAATGGAGTCATCAGGGACTTTGCGGGTCCATATTTTGTATCAGAGGATCTGATGGCTTTTGGCAACCCCACCAAGTACTGGCAACTCTCTCCTCAGAAGGCATTAAATGGACAGGCCGGCTGGGATACGGCTGTCACTGAAGCATCTGAGATATATAAAAAAAGAATGGTTGGTGAATTTTAACAGAATTGGTTATATTGCTTAGAACATTCCGTGATAAATTCTGATAATATATTGTGTAAATACTATTGTGGAATGTATTTAACAATAATTTCATTTACAGCATATAATATTTTATGATAACTGCCACTCACATGTGGCCACTGCTCTGAACATCATGAACTATGGAGGCTGCAAAAACTGGAACATGGTCAAATTGGCATTCTACATGATTCCTTATTCAAAATATGTCAGGTATATTTGTAACATCTTTTTAATTTCTTTATTTTAATATTTTAAATCTTAAATGTAGCAAATGAGATTGACTTATTGAATATTGGTTTTTATATATTTTCATATAGACACTAACATTCTCTTCTTATTTCAGTTTTGGAAGTTTTCTGAAGACTTGGTTACCTTTCCTTATCATTGCAGCTTTCATCTGTGTCCTTGCAGCAAGAATTTAAGTAGTTTATTATTGGTTTACCTAACTTGTTTGTTGTTTTACTTTGATATGTAAAGCACAAAATGGCACAATCGTCTACAATATCCAAGTAGAAATTGCTGTGATGGCTCTTGAATGGCAAAATCCTTGTTTTACATTTTTCAATTAATCAATTTTGTTTATAATAATTGATTACTTATTCACTTATTTCATGGTAATTTTGCCCATTTTATGGCAATTAAAATTTGGTGTTGGCAATCAAAATCCTAATCTATAGAAATGTTTATAGTAGAATGTTTGTGAAAATGTGTTATAAATAATCTAAAATCATGTATATTGTGTAACTGTGGTTCACTGTTTTTAAATACATATTTCTAATCTATGTAGTAATTGATTTGTATATTCATGTTTTTGTCACACAAAAATAATAGAGTATTTTAAAAATATTCATTAGCCTTGGGGCCAATGTCTTTATGGTAGATTGTACCATTTTAACTATATCACGCTAATGTATTTCTATATATTAAACTCATTAAGTGCCTGTAGTTTGTTTGAACTTGTAACTTTTTGAGTCATTTGAAATTTTCCTATAGCTCCAATGAAGTGGGGAATTATTTTTCTACATTCCTTGGCCCGATTTAAAAATGTACCTTGGACATGTATAAAATTTAAATCAATGTTGCTTTGGACACTACCTGTTTTTTGGATTTATATAGTTACTTCATTATGTACACAGCAGCTGCAGCAGTTTTTAGGAACTTCATTTAATAAACTTTCTAGTTTAGTACATTGTCTAATTTTATAAAATAAGAGTGTATTTATTTATGGTGCTTGTATTTACTGCAATATCTTTGTATTATGTACTTCCAAGATCTTCACATTGCCAAATTCATCTAAGAGTACTCTTACCTTTTTTACAACTGTGTGGAGAAATATGGATGTAGTGATTCAATATATATTTTGTAAAATAAATAATCTATTTCAAACTATACAGTATATTAGATGTTTGTACAATTGTGACGTCATATTTAAATTATTTACTAAGATTAATTTTATATAACTAACACATGCCAGGACATCACATAACAAGTAAAAAACAAGTGGCATGGAATGTGTTAATTTTAAATTATATAAGTTTGATCTTTTCTTGTAATTATAAATTTATCTATCTTAATATTTGTGTACTTTATGTTGGATAGTATTTATTAATGTAAAACGGGTTTAAAATAAATTAAAAACCTTTTCAAATTTTATTTCACCTTTATACAATTAATATAGTACATTCTTAATTATTTATTTACACATCACAATTACATACATTTAGTTAGTATAAAATGTAACACAAATATAGTTTGAGTGCATAATTTTGAACTACTTCACTAACATCAGTTAATACTAAAACAAGATGATTTTGTATTATTTATCTCAAGTAGTGTAGGCAACAGACAGGCAGCTGGCCGAAAAAATAAGCGATAACATAAGGTTTAGAAAACCTTGTGCACAGCCCATAAGTGCATGGGAAAGGCCTTGGAGATGATGAAAATATTGTTTCAAGAAATAATTTATTCTAAGAATACTCAACTTATTTGATTAATTGATGTTTTCCATTTTTAATAACTTGGCCGGTTTAACATACTAAAATGGATATTTGCAAATTTTAAAACAGTATTTAAATACCTAAAATTTAAATGAACTGTTAGTGCAATTATTTACAATTTGAGACAAATCTGCCATCAAAACATAGTTCCACAAACCAACAGGTTGATAGAAATATATATGGCACATTTAACACTCTTTTAAAACACTCTTTTCAACTGTGAAATCGTATTCGTAACCACTCATGTTGATTTTGCTAGTTAAAAATGCAAGCAGGTCCCCGATTTCTGTAGCAAAGGCATCTTTGTTTTTGGACATTTGTAATTCCCGGGACAGCATAAAAGGCACACCTTGGAGGTAATGGAAGGTCTGGTCATTTGCTTTGGGAACGGGCGCTGGCGGAGCAGGTCTTTTTACTTGTCGAACGTCGTTTATATTGGGGTACACACTGTTTCTTGGAGATGATGGATCGACAATCACAAATCCATCATCAGTTCTAGGTCCTGGTATAGGAGGCGCTTCATCTTTTACTGGAGAAGATCTCCTTTTACCAAACAAAGAAGAAAACATTTTCACTTCAATTTTATTATATTGAATCCAAAATACAATGAATCATTCACTAAGTTTGACGTTTACTTGACATTTTCAATTTGAAAACAAAGGCCAACAAAGAGTAAGTTAAGCAGGGCAAATAAATTGTCAAAAATCAACTTATTTAAGTTTTACTTTTTTTAAGGAAGATGTAATTGAAAGAAAAATGTTGGATAAATTGGTTTGTTCAAAGCCTTTAAATCTTGAGTTAAAATGATTTTTACTTCTAATTCAGTTGAATTAACTTTTCGTTAAACAATAGTTAATGAAGTTCGAGTTATTGAAATTGTTAGTTAGGCATTTATTAATGAAAAAATTAACTCATGAAAATTAATTAATTTTAATGTTTTGATGTCTGAAAACAAACTTTCCCCAAACTCATCACATTTTGATTGGTTTTTATTTTTGACAGTTGTTTCTTACAAGTTTCTTATTAGCGAATAAGCAAATAAGAAGAGCAAGAAATGGGTCAATTGCTAAGTATGACAAGCGCAATGCGTTCAATTATTTTAACGTAAGTGAACTAACTCAACTTCAGACGTCAAAAATCTGGCAAAAACACTTACTTGGACGTGTTTTGAAGAAGTTATTCATGGAAAATTTATGTGTACAATATTAATTCTTCAATTTCTGTGTTGTTATAAAGTGGATATGTTAAGTGCTATAGTGTTGTTGTAAAACAATTATTTAAAAGTGTCTGTGAGTAAGTTGTTATTTGCTGTTCAACCAGCTGTCTTGTGGCGCCTATCGGGTTATTATTTTTCTTTATGTTTAGCGATACGTTTCTGATGTATTATTTATATAAAAACTTGTTCAAGTTCGATAATTCCATTCAATCTAACTTACTTTAATTTACATATTGCCTTTAACAAACATAACTTGTTCAACAAAAACTATTTTATTTACTTTTAAAGTGTGCAGATGTAAAATTATTAGGTTCATTTAAAAATTCTATCCCAAATTCGTTGTTAAGTTTCGTAATGTGATAAGGATAAGAATACAATATCTTTATGACTTGATTTGATTCACTATCATCAACAAGGTTAAAAAAGTTATTACAATACAAATCCAAAACCTTAATTGAAAATTATTTTAATAGTGCAGATGCATTTGAGTCCAGCCTATATTAAGCACCTTAGAGGTTACTATCCTGTCAGCCCTCTTGCTTTATCTATTTCATATATGTATCAGTAGTCTCAGCGTTGAACTACCATCCAGAGAATATAGGGATGACTAAATCAATAAACTCTTTTAAATTAAATGGTTTATAAACAAATAATGCACATAGCAATTGATTAAACCTCTTACTTTATCTTGCAGCTTAAATCTGATTGTTTAAAAGTTTAAATGAAAAGACAATTTATAATTCTATAATTAACTACTGAATGTACAGAATCCATTAATTTATAAATATTATTTTTATTACAAATTAGGTTTTTAGATGGTTGTTTTCATTCAGTTAACCTACTATAATATTTAGTACACCAAATTGTAATTGTATTGTTTAGTAATGATGTTATTTTTTTATAGAAAACTGGCTGCTACATGAAAATGGCCGATGACCCCGGCCATTCATCCTCCCATTTAGGTGAGTTAACTACCATCAATACTTCAGTTAGTATAGTTAAAATTAATTTGACAATCTAGGACTAGTCATTTTTAAACAGAAATTTTATGCTATTAAGGGGTGCCAAAGAACAAGGGACAATTAATCCATATTTCAAGCCATGAAAATGTCTTGATAAGTATATGAACCTTCATTTGACTTTAATTGAAGTAGATTGGTGCTTAATTTGCATTACTCTCTGCTCATCATACAGGCGTAATGGCGCACTTCGAAAAAATGTGAATTTTCAAAGATTTTCGACAGGCTCAAAACTGATGGGTCTTATTAAACCATTCTTAATCAGTTTTTGATGAAGTTTCACGAAAATTTAAACAATGTAATTTCGAACTGAATTTTGTACTTTCATCACGACCAAAGCGGATAGTCATCATTAATCGACAACTTTACATGTAAAAAGACTTTCGTCGTGTTTTGTTATTAAAAATTATTAGTTAAATGAAGCATGGAAGCGTTGAGTGGTTTAGACAGATGTCTGTGCCTTGGGTGTAGTGATTTGTTGCTCGGCTCGGGGGTCCGAAGTTTGGTTTGGGGGTATGCCTATGGCTGCGATGTTTTCGCGGGCGAGGGTACGTCGGAGGCTCGGCCCCACGCCCCGATCGATGCTCACAAGGCCACGGCCGGGCCGCTATCGATTCATATATAAATAGCGGCAGGCCCGGGCCCCCGCGCCTCCCGGCTCTCGCCCCTTCTCCCGCGCCCACCGCCCTGCACCCAAGTCGACGTCCGGTCGACCTTGGAGCCTTGCCTGCACGTGCGACCCGGTACTTCCTTAATCATGCAACCAACTGGTACCAAATAAGTACTTTAGTTGCAACTTTGCTATGTAGCTCAAATTAAAAAGTTCCATCCATTCATTGTTTGACGATTTATTGAGTTTAACATACCTAAGAGATAAGTTAAGGTATTTGGCATCATCATTACATAACGTCCGCTAATATATTATGCCGACATACAAAGTGAAGAATCAAAATTTGTTTGTTAAGAATATTATCGTTTTAACGTGAATTAACATAAGCTAAGAGCATTTTGCCTCTTACACAAGTTGTCACGTGTCGTTACTTAATATATTTAATCTTGATTACAATAACTCCATTAAATAATTAAAATAGTTAAAAAATTAAGGTTTGCAGAGTAATTTCGGAGTAGCAGTGCTGCGTTCCGCCTGAGTGTCCGCTGGCCTCATGCAGAGGTCGTTTCCATAGATCTAACTAAACGCGTATTTTAGTTTCCGCCTTCCACAACTCAATATTGTTATATCACGCTATCACACAGATGACTGGGATAGCGCACTGGCTATGTATGCATACGATAAGTAATTTTTTTTAAATTTCCCGCGTATAAACTCTATGCTACTCTGCATAAGTATCACACTAGTCAAGTGTTGTAAACTGTTTTGTAATATTTTGTCATGATTTATTGTTTGTTGTTGACGCTTTAATGTCGCGGTTAAGTATATCGTTTTCCTTATTTACTACTTATTAAAGATTTCTCAGAGTTGTCGACTGAGGAAAGATTTAATACAAATTATATTGCGAAAGTGAATCGCAGGAAAATTAAGAAATAAACTCGAAAGCGTAAAGTATTATTAGAAGGTCTAAAAAGTTTTTAATTTCTAATTTACTTCTTTAGTCGTACGATACGCTGCGCTGCTACTATTCATTTACTTTTTTTTTATAACATAAGGTGGCAAACGAGCAAGCGGCCATCTCAATCCGCCAAAATGGCGAAGCGACCGCTGCCCACAGACATCCGCAATTGCAGATGCGTTGCCTACCCTTATCCGACGGCGGAGGAGACCCACATAAAGTGGATATTTCCCCTTCCTATGCATATCCTCCACCGTCAAATCCACTTCCTCTTCCTATCCTCTTCTTGTGAGAAAAGGGTGGTAAAGAGAAAGGGACTAAAATTAGGCCTAATTCTATGTGAAGAAAGATTGTAACGAGATAAACTGTGTTGTTCTAAGTTCTGAGGACCAATCGGAGAGCTATCTATGTTTTGATTAGTTAATGTAGATATTCGTATTACATTAGTAGGAGTAGAGGCTATAGTTTCCGCATCTTCACTGCTCGCACGTATTTTGGCATTATGGCGGTATTTACATACATATCTACAGCCATAGTCCACACGTGGGTAGTGCTAAATAAGCAGCGTATTTTCCAATCGTCATCGTCTAAAGTATTATTCCTAAATATTATTAATTTTGATGAGAGTTCCACTGCACCAACGCTTCCTTTCTGACACGTGACACTCCCCTTTTCTGCGGCGTAATAAAAGCTTTTGCCAACAAACTACTCGCTATACAATCAGTGATGGAAAGCACTATCAGTTATATTTCATACTAGCTGTTGCCCGCGACTTCGTCCACGCAATATTAAGATAAAAAAGTAGCCTATAACCATCGTTTAGTCATTGAAAGGCCGATCGAAATTGGCCTAACAATTTTGGAGATTACCCGGCAAAAACGCGGCTTGTGGACAGTCAAAAAAATTAAATGCAATTTTCGTTATCAGCAACCCAATTACATCATTTTCCCGACATCTGGAATTTTTCTTTTGACATTACAAACGGACAGTTCAATTTTATTATATGTATAGGAGATGTTAAAATTTTTCCATTCTTTGAACAATTTCATAGTCGTAATGACGTGTATAACTGTTTGGTTTTTATAATTTTGAACTTACATTGTCTACTTCGTTAAATCATGCGACCTGCGAAGCGCGTAAATTTCCACGCACCGGTACAAGCAACAGACAATACAAACAAATCAGCTAAACGTCCCCCGCTTGTTATGACTGCGGTCGTTTGGATACGGGAAGGTCAAGGGCGCTTTTAGGAAGTAAGGGAAGGGTATAGGGAGGCGGGCGTCGGGAGGTGGGCTCCCATGGGCGGGGCTCACAGCCGGGCGCCAGAAATAGACTCAGCAACACCGTTTGTCAACACACGCCCACGCAGCGAGGCCCGGCCGCCCCCTGCGCCGGGTGGCTCCGCCACGGGGGGGCAGGGCGTGGGGTGGACGTGCTCGCGCCCTGGATCTTCTGGGAAAACGAGAGCCATACTACAACGTTCTCTGACAGTCCCTGATCGAAGCGTTTGATATTATAATTGTCAGAAGTTGAATAAACGAAATGTTTGAGGTACAATTTCTAAATGAAAAAATTATTACGTTAGACTATTCACAAAAAATATCTGCTTAAACATTTTCTACTTTGTAACCTTTAAAAGTCTCAGTAATAATTTTATTGCAAATAGTAGACGATTTGGCGGGTAGTAGTACAGTAAGCGAAGACCAAAAAATTTCAGACATGAAAGAGAACATTTTTATTAACCAAAAAATATGTCAACTTCTAAGTTACCTAAAAACTTCAGCAAGTTACCAAAATATAAAAATGTATTTTAACTTTCCAAGTGATGCCAAAGCTAGATGTTAGCTAAGTTAATTAATGATTACAATTACAAGTAAGTTGCCGCGGGCCCTTCTTACACGCGCGTCTATTTCCGTACCTCCCTTGACCTTCAAGTTTGTGCTCCAAGGTGCTACGGCAAGCGCTTAACAAAAATTGTTTCCGTACTAAAAAACTATATTTGCTTGTTTGTTTCTTTTTGTACAATGTTATAGCAGGTTCAGTTAGTGATCTAAAATTCTAACGATATATTACATTTGTATATTTTATATTATAGAAGAAGAATCCATAAGACACTTTGGTTTGTCTGATTTATTTAGATGTTATAATTCAGTAGCGCTGTCTTGTCAATCAAGTGATATTGAGTAATGCGTTCAGTGTGAGCGTAGCTTTATTACTGATGTCCATATCATATATAACGTTTGCCTTCTGCAGTTTATAAAGGGGTGGGCAACATGGGGTGAATCGGACGATATGCAGTGAACCCCTGCCACCCTCCACCACCCCCGGCCGCGGTGCGCTCTGTAATCACTAAACCTCCTAACCTACATAAACTTTCAAACTAACTAATTGTTCTTGTTGATCCTAGAATTAAGGTTGTGCTGTATAACTGAGAATTGACATAAGAATACCTAAAACGTCCTGTTGCTTACCCGGTATGCCGGACTGTGTATTAATTCCCAATTAGTCGTAACAACGAAGCACTAAATACTATTTCACCTTTATTTCAACATAAGATCACACGGGAGCTGCAGTGAGTAAAAATGTTGAGGTACTGGACTTTACTTTTTGACTCAGTACCAAAGAGTAAAAGCACATAAATGTATCACACATAGAAAGTAACATACAAACAAACCAACGTGGGTTGGCGATTGAAGGTCGGGTACACCCATAAACCACAGTGCCTGTATGCTCAGGACCAACCTGCTCCGGGCTCCTTAGATCTAAAAATATCAACAACCCTACATAATTACGTAATTATTATTGTTGGCTGCTGGAGGCTGTGTTTCCTTCCCCTGCCGACGAACGCGCCGCCCGCCTGCGGCTCCGACACACCCTCAGCCCATAGTCGGAGACCGACCGTCGCGGAGGTAGCACGTGTCCTTAACGGAAATCTGTCATTCCCGGCCGGTATGCACATTAAACGCTACGGGCGACATTTGTAAATAAATTGGAAATTCAGTTTTTACAGCTTATAATGTAAAATAAACGATGAACTATTCCTATAATTGATATTTTAATATAATCCAGATATATCTTGTTTTTTGTAAACTTTGTGCGTGTGGAAAATCAGCATGTCTGCCGACCCCACATCCGTCACTGCTAAAGGTAACAACTGAATTTTAGATTGACTGAAAAATGCTTATTTCTTTGTTTTGATGCGTGATTGATCTTTCAGCTTTTTTCATCTTGGTTCTTCAATGCTCTATCTAATGTATATTTTATGTGTAGATCTAATACTTATTCCTTGGGTAGGAATATAATCAGTCAATTAGATATAATTTGAAATGCAGGTAGTTACTGTTGTGGATATTTTCGTCGAAGCTACATCAATAT